ATGCGTGAAATTTTAATACAACACATTACGTCAAGCAATAAATACGTTTTTTCTCAAAAATAAAGAAAATGCTAGATAATTCCTTCTAACTAATTAATCTGTTTAATAAAATATTTTATATTAGATGTACGATGGTAAGATAACATTAATAGTTTCTTCTAAATAAAAGAACTGTCGTTTTGCATTTTTTTTTTTTTGTACGTTACCGAATTTGTCAGAAATTATTTAGGGAAAAATTGATTGTGTGTTAAAATTGCCAGGGTTAAAACGCATATAAATACTTGCTTATTATCAGTGGGAGTGTTATCAGCCTTATTGACTTTTGTTTTAGTGTTCATATTGTTAAAAAGGTGTTTCTGCCGCAATGGTAGTCAAACTTTGAAAATATCCCAGACATCTTTCAACAGTTTCTAAGCAAAACTTCAAAATTTGAAAATCTAAAATTATTTTTGGCTTCCCGATAGTGTCGTCAGAAAAATTTCCGAAACTACTGAATTAATTATCGTGAAAAAATAAAGAAATAAAAAACATCTGTCTGATTGTATAAATCGTCATAAACTTCCCTTTCTTGGTTCCGGATTGATTGATTAATATCACAAAGTAAAATTTCTGAATTTACATTTTTTCACGTTATCACTGGTTTAAAAGTTCGTTGTTAATTTTGAGATTAAATTTTTTTTTACTAGTAGCCATGAAACATGTAATTGTCGACTTGTTTAGAGGTAGTAAAGTTCAACTTTTGCGACCAAGGTTCTAAAAGAAGATTGAGGTTATGTATGAAATCCTTGATGTGATTATTTCTTAAAAAATGAATACATGTATACTATTAATATTACTTGAGTATACGCATGGTAGATGGTAGACGGTGGAAGATAAAATGATTAATTCAGCGACAAGTCTAAATGGTTTTGTTTGTGTTGACGATTTAGGTTAAGTTTGATTAGTAATCAAAACAAAATCATTTTGCGTCAAAAAATTGAAGGTTTATTTTTTCAATTTATTGTCTTCCGGTTTCTACTAATGAAAAAAATAGTATATTAACCACGGTTACGAAGCCACCTCTAGAACTCGCGCTTCGCTTCACAACCTTGGTTAATAATATACTGCTTTTGTACGAGAGTCTAGAACCAAGGTTTCTTTTATTTATGCAATTTTAGTTCGAATCTTCCCCACCTGTTTACCGGCAGAGAAAAAATACCATAAGGTTAAATGATTAAAATATTTGTTCAACCTTTCCAGTAAGTTGAATTAGGTCGTCATTAAAAAAATCTAATTTGTGTTAAAATACAACACCGTTATTCGTGTTCCTCAGTACACAATATACCGATCCCCACAGAATAGGTTATCATAAAAAAATGCAGGATTAAACTTTACAATGTATGTATTTAAAAGATCGAATTTCTTCAAAACTCTGTGGTATTGTTTGAGTGAGTACAAAATATTAATAAAAAAAATTCAATAAACATTTTTTAAAACTATGTTTTGAAGTAAGGACTTAAGTGTTTTTTGTTAATGTGGTATTATTTTACCTATATTTATTGGCAAAGAATAATTAAATTAAAATTAAATGTTCCATTTAAGTTTCCCGAAATTCTAAGAAAAAAGTAAATTTAAAGAAAACGTTTGCCCTAATGAGAAATTACTAAATAAACCATTCATGAAGAATATGCTCTAACATGCAAAAAAAAAAACTGACTGTGCTTTACAGAAGAGGAAAGCTCTGTTTAAATAACTGCTTTTTTAAATTCTAAAATGCGTGTAAACGAAATCGAAGGCACGTGTGCGATTTATTTTACAAAATTTTGAGAGAGGACCAGTTTTTGGAGATTTTTTTAATGTTGCATGTAATAAAAGCTTTTTTACAAACTCTTACTTTTGTATTAAAAATTATGTTGTTAGTAAGCTCACCTTGAAATCCACTTGGTTTCCAAACCAGCAGTAAACAAATATTTCTGTAATTATTGCCACTGCATAAAATACAATAATCAGTCCTTCCGTACTCAAGGGGTCCACCTTCACAAATAGGTCTTCTTAATAGACGACACACAACAAGAAAAATTAACTCACCAAGGTTATCATAAACAAAGTTGTTGCAATTACAACGGTACTAGTAACAAAATGACCCAAAATAACCGTTTCAAAAAGTTCGTTAGTGGTTTGAGCAAAACTAGAAATAGTTAAATGCGGTTGGCTTTCTGAATTTATTTCCATTTATCACCACATACCTCAGAATTTCCTTCTGGTGTTTAATGCAAAAAATTAAACTCTGATTAAAATTGAAGTTTACACTTTCCAGATTTTTACAATTGTCGCACAAAATATCACATTGAATGACAATGCACGTTAGTAAAGCATAAAAAAATGTGTCAATATTTACATTCGACAGAATTATATACCAGATTCCAAGAACTTGGTGTAAAAAAGTTAGTTCATACAACGGTGATATTGTATTATTGTAGGGATACCAAGCAGACAAGGGTAACTGCTTCTTCTCTACCGATTTTGTTAGAAACGGAAGAGTGCTCCATATGATTGAAGATATAATAGTTATAAATAAAAAATATCCATACACAATTTTCCAAACATTTAAACTAGAGTTTGCCAGATCCACTTGCTTTTCGTTTTTAGGTTGAAATGAATCTTTGTATAAAGAATTCAACAATTTTTTCACACCGCCGATATTCTTTGTAAAAAAATATATTTTTACTGACACTAACACTTCTTCACTTGTCGTAAAAATAGTAGTCGCCAAAGCTTTCAAGTCTTTATAGACGAAACAAAGATTTAGAATTTGGAACAAATTATGGCCACCCATAATCACAACTGTTGACACGAACGCATACGTAGAATATAAATTTAATTTGTACACTTCGTCTTCTTTAGGCCATAGCCCCAGTAAATGTAACATTAGAATGTTTTCTCTTGTGGTATATTTCCAGTCTAATTTTAACATACTGACTGTTCAAACTGTTCAAAAATGTTGCGATTTAGCGAACTGGTCAGTTTGGTAGAACTTTCACGTTTGAGCAGAAAGCTCGTCCGCACATCCAATGAAATTGATGTAATATAAAAACTAGTATTCAATTCATGCATAATTTATGGTTAAATTGTTCTGTGCTAAATCGAAATGAAGCAGTGGATGGTCTTTCATTATTGGTCTATGATAAGTCTTTTATTGAAAGGGAAGAGGGATTGTTACTCGATTGCTTTTAGAGAAAATATTCTGAAATGTAAGTACATATTTTAAACTGGGAATTTTATTTTATTTTATCATACTTGATGTGTGGTGTTATTTAACTCAAGGAAATCGTTTTTTTTTCTTATGTATAACTTCATGAAATTTGTTTGTGTTATTGCTTAAAATATAAGATTTCAGACGTGATTTGCAATTATTCTCGCAATGATTCTAAAATTAATAGTATTCAGTTCATGCATAATTTATAATAAACGGCTATCTGTTAAATCCAGATTAAGCAGTGAATGGTCTTTCATTATTGGAATATGGTAAGTCGGTTATTGAATCGGAATACATATTTTAACAGGAATTGTTATTAGATTACTTTTAAGCAAAATATTCTCAAATATTCTTAAGTACATATTTCATAGTTCATACAGTTCATGAAAATTATTTGCGTTATTGCTTAAGATTACAGAAGTGGGTTGTTTGAGATTATTCTGGCAATGATTCTCACAATAACAGCCTTATATTTCAGTAAGTATTTAAATTAGTGGCCTTATTTAATTCTAATTACGTTGTCGCCGACATTTTTTCAGTGAGATTTTATTTTTATATTTGTTTCGAATACAGCGTTTAGCAAATTACAATTTAAAAATTGCGTCACTATAAAATGAATCCATTATTAATATTATTATAGTTTTCATTATCAGGCATCAAGCCCACTGAATATTTACTGCAAGCAGAATAATCTATAGGTTTGTCTAAATTTGTAAGGACTACTCAACGCTGTATTAAAAACGTATTTTTGAACAATATTTATATCTTTTTGACAAATGTCTTCTGAATTTCTTGAACTTACAAGCTAAAAATTTTCTGAAGTAGTACTAGTCCCGAACAGCAGGAACTTAATTTGGCAATCATTTTCTCCTTGGTAGTAAAAAAATCATCAAGGCTGGAACTTTTGAAAAAAATTCAAAGTAGTTTAAGAAACAGTGAAAATTTGTTTAAAAATACAGAACCACTGCTCTGAAAACCTAGAAACACGTTAGCGTGTCGTAAGTGTGAAATCTCATTTAGTGTTTATATGATTATCCTCCTGAAAAATTTTATGATGTCAACCTAATCGTAGCACTAGTAAAGTCGGTTTTAATATTATTCGCCTACACGTGTGATTTATAAGCGCACCCTTAGTTTTAAACTTTATATTTGTAAATTTTTGAAAAAAAAAAATTAAAATGGTCCAAAAAATTTTACAATTTATTTTATAAACAGTACATCCGATTGCTCTGAAATTTTGTAGAAGCTTTGAAATTATAATTAGTCTGATAAACCGCTAACCAAAATTTGTCTATCTATCTAAACCAAAATTTGAATGACGTCACTTCCAAAATTTTCGTAGTAATTTTTATAGAAAATGGGTAAAATAATATGCGTTTACACCTATGGTTATTCTCCTAAAGGAACTAAAATTTGCAGAATCAATTTTAGCAAAATTTTAGATTAATTGGTTTTTGTTTTTGTTTTCTTTTTTTGTTACCAAATAACAATCTACATATTATTTGTATTATGAACATTTTATAACTTCTGTTATACCTCACAAGCATACTCGTTTTAATTCCATGATTTGAAACTAAGTTCGTATGTGATAAGAGTGATAAGTGAATTAATTACTGTAAACTATATATTTGGTTTTTTGTTTTTCATTGATTTAACCTACAAATTTTAAAACTGTGTCAACGCGAACCTTATGTGAGCGTAAGTAAGAAACTATGCCGTTTAGGCTAGATATGGGTTTTTGGTTTTTAATAACAAAGTAGCTCACCTTGATATGTACTTGGTTTCCAAACCAGCAGTAAATAAATATTTCTGTAATTATTGCCACCGCGTACATGGCAATAATAATTCCTTCTTTACTTAACGGATCCACCTTCGTAAACAGATTTTAGTAGAAAACACATCGCTGTCAATAGTAACTCACCAACGTTAACATAAACAGAGTTGTCGCAATGACGATTGTGCTGGTAATAAACTGACCCAAAATAACCATTTCAAAAACCTCGTTACTGTTTTGCGCAAAACTAGAAGTTAATATTGTTAGATTTCTGCATTTATATCTACTTATTTGTGTATACCTCAGAATTTCTTTGTGATGTTTAATGCAAGAAGTTAATCTCTGATTGTAACTCGATTGTCCAATTGTCAGATTCTTACAGTTGTCACACAAAATATCACACTGAACGACAACATATGTTAGTAAGGCATAAAACAATGTGCCAATATTTACATTCGACATAGATATATACCACATTCCAACAACTTGGTATAAATATGTTAATTCATAGAACGGTGACACTGTACTATCGTAGGGATACCATGCGGAAAAAGGCAGCTGCTTTACTCCTGTAGAGTTTGCTAACAATGGAATAATGCCCCATATAATTACAGTTAAAGCAACAATAAATAGAAACCATCCATACACAATTTTCCAAAAATTTAAAATAGAGTTGACTAATTCCAGCTGCTTTTCGTTTTTAGGTTGAAACGAATCTTGATTTAACGATCGCAACAGTTTCTTCAGTGTATCGATATTTTGTGTGAAGAAATATATTTTTGCTGACACTAACACTTCGGTACTTGTAATAAAAATAGTAGTGGCCAAGGCTTTTAAGTCTTTGTAGACGAAACAAATATTTAGAATTTGGAACAAATTATGGCCTCCCATAATCACAACTGTTGTGATGAAGGTATACGTGGAATATAAATTTAATTTGTACACTTTCTCTTCCTTCGGCCACAGTCCAAGTAATTGTAACATTAGGATATTTTTTCTTAGTGTATATTTCCAATTTAATGTTAACATATTGAACGTTCAAACACTTGTTGCGATTTAGCGAACTAGTCAGTTTGGCAGAACTTTCACGTTTGAGCAGAAAGCTTGTCCGCACATGAAATGAAACTGATGTAATATAAAAACTAGTATTCAATTCATGCATAAGTTATAGCAAAATTGTTCTCTGCTAAATCGACATAAAGCAGTGGATGGTCTTTCATTATTGAATTATGGTAAGTCTTTTATTGAAAGGGAATAAATATTTTAACAAAGATTGTTACTGGATTTCTTTTAGAGAAAACATTCTAAAATATTAAGTACATATTTTAAATTAGGAAAATTTATTTTAAAAGTTGATGTGTGGTGTAATTTAACTCAAGGGAAATCGATTTTTTTCTTACATATAATTTGAAGAAAATGGTTTACGTTATTGTTTGAGATATACAGTTTCCGGTGTTATTTGCAATTTATTTGCAATTATTCTAGCAATAATTCTTATAACAACAGATTTGTGTTCGTTAATATTTAGATTAGAAGTCTTATTTAACACTAATAATGTTTCCACTGTTATGTAGACCACGACACTACAAAATTATCTGTTTTTCTGGGTGAGATTTTATTTTTATATTTATTACGAGTACGGCGTTTATTAAATATAATTACATAACATTTCGCGTTTTGTTGATTTGTACGCATTGTGACGCATTAGTGAACTCACTGAATATTTACTGTAACTAGAAAAATATAATTTGCGTAAATTATTATGATACTCAAAGCTACTTAAGGAACGTATTTTTGAATAAGATTTATACCACTTAGGCAAATTTTTTATACAGGATATCTCTTTTATTTGATACAACCCCTGTAACTTTTTTATTCTTAAAGATAAACCTGTAGGTCTTGGAGCAAATTTGTATCATTTTAAAAGATTTATGTGATGGTAACCACAAATTTTCATTCTCTCTTCCGGCAGAATCGGAAATGATAATGTTTTTAATCGAACACTACGCATATTTTTTTATAAATGGAAACATTAATTTTTTTACTACAAGAAATCAAAAGCAACCAATATTCTAAAATCAATAATAAAAAAGTTATTTAGTCAAATATCTCAAAAATTTTCTGTTTCATTCAAAATTTAGTTGCTTAAAAAACAGTTGAAAAATTGTTGCCATTACATATATATTTTAAAATGGTACAAATTTGTTCAAATAACTACAGATTTATTTTTAAGAATAAAAAAGTTATAAAGGATCTGTATTTCACACTTTAAAATTGGTATTTAAATATATTTAGTGCTTGCAATATGTGGAGCAGAAAGTTGTGGTCAGCTCTAAAATTTGCATTAGGCTTAACTAAAAATTGTAGAGAATAAGAACGTAGAAACCGAAATTAGATTTTTTTACTAAAAAAAACTATAAGTATTTCTCAAAAATATTGGTTTTAGACTTAAAAATGTCCATTACAGATTTGCTATATTTTTTAAATTTTAAATTGTTTACATTAAGAAGACCGTCGCAGGTTAACTGAAACTTCTGAAAATAAACTATACTTTGGAGTAAAAGACCTCTTTAAATTTTTTTCTGAAATTGGTTGGTAATTAAGATAGTCAGTTAAAGAGATAATTTATTAGTAATTCTGTACAGTTCATGTACTTATTTTTAAAAGTACTAAATCAATGACTGCACTAAGGAGAAACTTGTCGAGGCAGAAAATTCTAAAAAAGTATGTAAATATTGTAAATATTGTAAATAAGAACTTTCTTAAGTAACACTAGTCAACAGAACATTGGCCAATTTAGTTTAGACAAAAGTGGAAAAAAGTGAAAATCTGCTGAATTCTTGCAAATGCTCAAACTAAATATGATAAAACGCTAATCAGTATTTATCTGATGAGTCTCTCCAAAATTTGTTGACATCAACCTAATTTTGCTGGCTAAGTCGAATCCAAAATGTGTAAAATATTATTCGTGTACCCTTATAATTTGTGGGCTCACCCACATTTTTAACTCCTGCATGTGCAGATTTTTAGGAAAAAATCAAAATTGTAAAAAAAAAATATAATTTATTTTATAAATTTCATATTCCATTGCTCTGAAATTTTGTAGAAATTTTGAAGTTATCATTGGTCTGATAGATTCCTAACTCAAATTTGTCGATCCTCCCAACCAAAATTTTGATGACGTCGCTTTCAAGATTTCCAGAGTAAATCCCACAAAATGAGTAAAATAATAAGCATTTGTATTGGGTGTTATCGTAAAAGAAATAAAATCTGCAGAATCAACATCCATTTATATCAATAGAATATGTGTGTATAATTCTTGTGAGAAAAAATGAAACGTGTGAAAATTCTGTCTAAATACTTTAGGACCAATTGGTTTTTGATTTTTGTAATAACTGACAGGTTTCATACGTTTTAACAATAATTCCATAATTTAAATTAATTTCGAGTATCATAAATGAATTTCTATTAATTGTATTTTTAAATTTTTGTTTTTCATTATTTTAACTCATAGATTTTATGACTTTATGTAACACGAAATTTTGGCGGTTAGATATGGATATTTGCTTTTTAATAACTAAGTAGCTCACCTTGGTATCAACTTGATTTCCAAACCAACAGTAAATAAATATTTCTGTAATTATTGCCACCGCGTACATTGCAATGATAATTCCTTCTTTACTTAAGGGATCCACCTTTGTAAACAGACCTTCTTAGTAGAGAACACATCACAATAAAAGTAACTCACCAAAGTTAACATAAACAAAGTTGTTGCAATGACAATTGTGCTAGTAACAAACTGACCCAAAATAACCATTTCAAAAATCTCATTACTGTTTTGAGCAAAACTAGAAGTAAATGTTGTTAGGTTTATGCGTTTATTTCTATTTTTTTGTTAATACCGTAGAATTTCCCTGTGGTGTTTAATACAAGAAATTAATCTGTGATTGAAAAGGGCTTGTTCATTTGTCAGATTCCTACAGTTGTCATATAAAATATCACACTGAACGACAATGTACGTTAGTAAGGCGTAAAACAATGTTCCAATATTTACATTCGACATAGATATATACCACATTCCAACAACTTGGTATACATATGTCAATTCATAGAACGGTGTCACTGTACTATCGTAGGGATACCATGCGGAAAAAGGGAGTTGCTGCACTTCTGTTGAGTTTGTTAACAATGGAATAATGCCCCATATAATTACAGTTAGAGCAACAATAAACAGAAACCATCCATAGACAATTTTCCACAAATTTAAAGTAGAGTTGACTAGTTCTAACTGCTTTTCGTTCTTAGGTTGAAACGAATCCTGATTTAACGAATGCAATAATTTCTTCAGTGTTTCAATATTTTGTGTAAAGAAATATATTTTTGCTGACACCAACACTTCTGCACTTGTAATAAAAATAGTAGTGGCCAAAGCTTTTAAGTCTTTGTAGATGAAACAGATATTTAGAATTTGGAAGAAATTATGACCGCCTATAATCACAACTGTTGATACGAATGCATACGTCGAATATAAATTTAATTTGTACAGTTTGTCTTCCTTAGGCCATAAACCAAGTACTTTTAACATTAGGAGATTTTTTCTTAGTGTATATCTCCAATCTAATTTTAACATACTGAACGTTCAAACACTTGTTGCGATTTAGCGAACTGGTCAGATTGGCAGAGCTTTCACGTTTGAGCAGAAAGCTCGTCCGCACATAAAATGAAACTGATGTAATATAAAAACTAGTATTCAATTCATGCATAATTTATAGTTAAATTGTTCTCTGCTAAATTGATATGAAGCAGTGGAAGGTCTTTCATTATTGGACGATAACTCTCTTACTGAAAGGGAATAAATATTTTAACCGGGATTGCTACTGAATTTCTTTTAGAACAAATATTTTAAAATGTTAAGTTTATATGTGTTTTAAATTTGGAAATTTTTATTTTATTGAACTTGACGTGTGATGTAATTTAACTCAAGGGAAGCGATTTTTTTTTGTTGTATGTAACTTTGCCATTACTCTAGTAATAACAGACTTGTATTCCTAGGTATTTATACAGGGTGTTATTGAAAGGTACGTACAACAAAATGGACAGTTCTTTGCGAAGTCTAAGAAGTCGGAAAAACTTATTATTATAAGGGGAAAATTAACCCTTATCCAACCTTTTTGGACGCTACTGAAGAATAAATAGGTAAAATTAATTTATTTTAG